GGAGCGGCGGGCGTCGTCTGGGCCAGCAGGCGAAGCTAATTAGCTACAACAGGCAATGCGCCTGCAGTAAAAATCCGCAAGAAAGCGAGTATGCACATGCAGTAAGCAAAATGCTCGATTAAACGCTGCGGAAGAGTCGCCCTGTCGGCGCCAGTCCGCGCAGCCAACCTAGCCGATGAGACAGGTAGGACCGAAGCGACACGCTGAAGGCTGAACCACTCAGCGCGAGGTACCAACGCCGTACGCGGGGTAGGCGAAGACAGGGCAGGGACCTACAGAGCTCTCACTCCACGATCTACACCGCTGCCCACGGTGGGGCCGGTGCGTCAGCCATCGCTCCGAAACCAGACACCAGCCAATAGGTGGGGGCGAAGCGACACGCCGAGGGCAGAACCACTCAGCGCGAGGTACCACCGCCGTGCGCGGGGTCGGCTGGGATACGCAGCGGAAGAGTCGCCCTGTCGGCGCCAGTCCGCGCAGCCATGCTAGCCGAACAAGCAGGTAGTACCGAAGCGACACGCTGAAGGCTGCACCACTCAGCGCGAGGTACCACCGCCGCACGCGGGGTCGGCTGAGAAAGGGCAGGGACCTACAGAGCCCTCACTCCACGATCCACCCGCTGCCCATGGTGGGGCCGGTGCGCCAGCCATCGTCTCAGAAACCAGTCACAGGCCAGGGAGCAACGATGGAAGCGGACACGCAGGCCCAAGCGCCAGTCCCGCCGCCAAGCGGGTAACGGCCGAAGGTCGCCGAGGTACGCTGCAGCCGCGGCCAGCACATAGGCGCTGGGATGTAGTCAGACCCGAAACTGACCACAGTGAAAGCCGGGGGACGGCAAGTACCAACAGAGCACTCACTCCGCGGACCGCACTGCTGCCCGGGGGGGGGGGGGGGGCTGGTGCGTCGTCATCGTATCCGAAACAAGACTGGTCGGGGCTGCAACGATGAGAGAGGACATGCTGGCCCAAGGGCCGGTATATTGCACTTGCAGGTACCGGCCACGATAGTCGCCGAGATTCGCAGCTGCCGTGACCACCTCATGGACCACCTCATGGAGCGGTGGCGGGGTTACTTTTTTTGATTGGCGGCTCACAAGGAGATCCAGGAAGCGGGGCGGTCTCGGCTGGGGCACAGGGCGAGATAATTGGCTACGACGGCGCATAGGCCGACGCAACAAGTGCACGTGCCAGGGACAAAATGCCCCCCTTTAAGATGCGGGCGACCCAGGAGCGGGGACGCAGGCACCAGAAGGAAACAGACGGAGGAGGAGTCGCACAGTGGCGCCAGCTCGAACCGCACCGACCAGCGCGCACTGGCGTGGGTCACGCTGCGCTGTGGCAGCACGGAGGGCCAGCGAGGCCGCACCGCCCATCACGACGAGGAGGCGAAGGAGCGAGGAACGGCGGCGGGCGCGAGAGCACGCGCGGACAGAAGAGGGGGGGGACCGAGGAACGCCTCACTCACATGGACTCCTGGAAGTAGTCGGGCATAAGCGACCGACCTATGCAAGGAGACGTCGCCCCTGTCTCGGAGTCCACCGCCTGCAACTGCCTGACTCTGAAAGCCGGGGGGATACAGCTGCAAGCATGGTCGAGCACCACGGACCACCCTGCGGGAGGGCCGAGACGCACTGCCAAGGGATATACCACTTGCGCGGTAGCAAGAGCTCGAAGGCGGCGCCCGCCATGAGAAGCGGGACAACCAAGTCATCGACGTACAACACGGGCAGCTTATCCATCACGAAAGACGGGGGCGTAAAGATGCGAGCGTCAACCGGGGTAGCAGGGGCGGACCTGATGGGGGAACGACGGCACCCGGCCAAAGTGTGAACCACTTGTCGGGACAGCGCACACCTCAGGTCCGGCCCCAGGTGGTGCCAGGGCGGGGTGGCGCGCCAGGCTGCACCATGCCGTAGCCCAGCACCAGAGGCGCCGTGAACCACTCCCAGACCACGCGGGCAAACCGCGCCCGCTCCAGGGGCTGGAGGAGTCGCACCAGCGGGGGCGGACTGCTGCAGACCCGGGTTGTCCGAAACAACACGTGGCAGCCGCGCAACCCGACCGCACCTCGGAGCCCTGCCAGTGAACCTCCAGGTGCCATGGATGCCCGAGTGCTCCAGAGGAGCCTCGGTAGGGGGGAAATCGCGCGGCGCCGCATCAGCACGAGAGGAGGAGGAGGAGGAGGAGGAGGAGGAGGAGGAGGGGAGACGCAGCCGATAGCCGCACAAACCAATAAAAAGACGGAGGAGGAGGGAGGGGCGACGCCAATGAAGGCACTGTGAGTACTGTGGCCTCTGTGATTCCTCCACCGTGCGCTGCGGAGGGTTCTCTGCGACCGCGGGGGGAACAGAGCGCCAGACCTCTGCGGGGGACTGCGCGGTCACTTGCCCAGAGCAGCACCGTCTGGGGGAAGCACGTGAGGTGTGACCACGTGACGTGGCACGTCCTATGGCCAGCGCACCCAGTCATCCAAAGTAGGTGTCCCGGAGGGGGGGACATAGACGGACCCTTGTCCCGTGGGATTCTGGTCAAAGGGGGAACACGGGGGGTGGATTATTTCAGCCACCGTCCCACTGTCCAGGAAGGACCCACGAGACCAGCGTGGGCTGTCTAGTGCGCAGCGCATGGGTATTGGTGCACCTCTGCCCCATAAGAGGTAGCACGGGGGTATTAAGGCCAAGGCCTGGCGCTGCGGTGAAAACAGCCCCCGTCAAGGTCAGGAGCGACCACGAGGGAGGCTGGACCGTGGGGGACTGACACCTCACGTTGTCCTCAGCCCCCGCCCCCTGCGTCGCTGTGCGCGGCAAAGGGCCGGTTGAGGACCATGGGGCTGCCGACTCAGCGGGCTCCGCCCGGAACGTCGGGGTCCCAGATGGCCCACAGGGTCAGCGCGACAGGGACCACCTTGTAGAGGGAGGGGGAGGTCGTTTCCAGCTGCCCAAGATCGCTGTTGTCCAGAAAGCAAGCGTTGCGCTCCATGGCGGGCCGAGTGGCAACTCTGAGAATCGACATGTTCAGGTGGAAGAAAGGCTTGAGCCGCAGACAGGCTGCGCGGGCCATCCTCCACGGGTAGCAGGGGAAGGAACAGACGAGCAGGTGGGGGGAGGCGAGTAGCACGCACAGCGAAGGGTCCCAGACAGGGCGGGCCGCCCCCCCTCTACCAGGGGGGGGGGGCGCCAGCGGCAAGGCCATGCCTCGATCACTTGGGGCAGAAGTCCCATCCCCGCTGACGCTTGTCTGCGTAGTGGGTTTCCCCTCTGGGGGAGGACCGTTTCCCCTTGCCTTCCAGTCCGTGTCGGTCCATGTGTCTCGCTGATGGTCCCACTCGTCCCAGGACTGCCAAGTACGCCAGGGTGCTGCAGATCCAGAGGCACCTGTCCGTGTGGCAGCCCTGCCTTCGGTGGACCACGGGGGGGTCTTTGTAGCCTCCTTGCCCTCGTCGGCCCACGGGTGTGAGCGTCCGCTTCCGATGGGCGCGTAGCGTCGAGAATTTTGGCGGGGGTGGTAAGCTTCCATGACGGCACAGCAATCCAACCCAGGCCGCCAAGAGCCCTCCAAGACAGCCCAAGATCGCTCCAAGACGCTAACGATGACCCCAAGACGGCCCAAGAGGCCGCCAAGACGCCCCAAGAGGCCTCCAAGAGGCTTCTCCAGAGGGCCCCAAGAGGCAAAATTCATCGATTGTCCTTAGGTGTTTGAAGGATGTTCGCGTTCCCGCCTGTTCTGTTTTCCCAACGCTCCAAGACAGCCCGAAAGGCCCCCAAGACCACCCCAAGACGGCCCAAGAGGCCTCCCAAAAGGACCCCCAGACGACTTCAGAGAGCCCCAGAACAGCCTGCGAGGCGCCCAAGACGACCCCAGAGGGCCCCAAGACGACCCCAAAAGGGCGGTAAGAATGGGTACACGAACCGAAAATCTTAGCCTTCCGCCCCAAGGGGCCCCCAGGAGCCCCCAAGAAGCGCCCAAGAGGCCCGCGAGAGGCCCCCAAGAGACCCGAAGAGGCCTCCAAGAGGCCCAAAAGAGGCTCCAAAAGGCCCCCAAAACGGCCCCCATGAGGCCTCAAACTGCCTCCAAGAGGTCCCCGAGAGGCCTTCCACGAGACCCCAACGAACATCCAATAGTCTTCACACCCACAACCGAGGCACGGTGGCGGGACTTGTCGTAGGCGGCAGGATAGTCCTGTCCACTGCAGGAAGCGCCCCCTTGAATGACGCGCGTCCAGTGGGCCTGCCACTCAGACAAGACCCCGTCTGTAAAGAATTCACCCTCGTAGCTGAAAGAAGTGCAAATCATGAGGTGCAAGAAAGGCGAAACGATAACCTTGTTTTGGAAAAGGATCTGCCCTCTAGCCGTTCAGCTGTTGCTCAGTGGAACTTCAGGCAATAGAATTCGACAAGTCTCAAGCGAGCGCCGCCGTTTGAAAACGAACCACCTTCCGTCCACGTAGCTGCTAGGAACTTGGATCACAAATGTGCGCGGATATACGCCAAGAGCCGAATATTGAAAACAAGAGGCCCTCCATATTTGCACATGTTGAAGACTATTAATCGTAACACGAACTTGCGCGGCGTTAAGGCGGGAGCCGCGTTTTGACAATCACCAGCCCTCCATCCTGGTACATGTTGGAGTTGTCTCAGTTTGAGGATGGTAAACCGTAAGGACATTCAAGCAAAATTGCAAGCCCGGCCCACGGGAACGTCTGGTGAAGCGACACGGGAGAGCTATACATATATATATATATATATATATATATATAAGAAGAGGGATAGAGGAGGAGGAGGAGGAGGAGGAGGACGAGGAGGAGGAGGAGGACAAGAATTTAACCCATCGGCGTTTCGAAGATGGGGTCCTGAGGGATGGGGTCCAAAGGATAGGAAGGGATCCAAGGGTTGACTTCCTGTTTGAGGCAACTCATCCTGAGGACCCCATCCCTCAGGACCCCATCATCGAACCACCGAACCCCTTTGGCTGCCAGTGCGTTTCAGCCGGCTCAGGGCGGGCCTCCCCCCTTCCAGCGGCCGCAGGCGGCCGCTGCGGCGTCCACGCGCCGACCGAGCCCGGCGTCGACGGCCACCTCCAGACGACGACGACGACGACGACGACGACGACGACGACGACGACGACGACGACGACGAGGGCAGCGACGTGGCCCGCCCGAGGTCAAAGCGGACCCCGCCCGCGTGCGGTCGGGCGGCTCCATGGGCGCACGTGCTCGCGCCGAAGCTGCACGCGCGCGCATGCGCGCGTGCGCGACTGTACGGAGTGGGGGGCCGCGGGCGGCGGCGGCGGAGGGGAGAGGGAAGGACGAGGAGCGGGGGGAGGAGGAGGGCGCCAAAGGCGGAGACTAGAGGCCCAGGTCCCCGACGATACGAATTCGTCCATCTGGGCGTACGACGGCCCAAGATGTCCTCCAGACGGCTCAAGAGGCCCCTCAGACGCCCCAAGCGGGTTCCAAGAAGACCTGCGGGAGGCCAAACTCAGCGTGTTCCGGAGGTGATTCAATGGGTTTAGCTTTCTCGCCTTTTAAAGCTTCCGACGCACCAAGACGGACCCATAGGCCCCCGAGATGGCCCCAAGACGGCCCAAGAGGCACCCAAGAGGCCCACAAGATGGCCAAAAAGAGCCCCAAGACGGCCCAAGAGGCCCCCGAGACGGCCCCAAAACGGCCCCAGAGAGCTCCAAGAAGGCCCTAACGCGCCCAAAGAAAAAAACGCGACTGCCCAGGGAGGGCCTATGACGGCGACTGAAGGCCAAGAGGCCCCTCAGACGCCCCAAGTGGGCTCCAAGAGGACCTCCAGGAGACCAATATCATTGATTTGCCTTAGGTGATTCAATGATGTTAGCGGTCTCGCCTTTTCGAGCCTCCGACGCTCCATGACGGGCCCATAGGCCCCCAAGATGGCCCCAAGACGGCCCAAGAGGCCCGCAAGACAGCCTCAGAGGGCCCCAGAGCAGCCCAAGAGGCCCCCTAAAATTGCCCCAAGACTGCCCCAGAGACCTCCAAGACGGCTCTGAAGCGCCCAAACAAAGACCCACGACTGCCCAGGGAGGACCCAAAAGGCCCCTCAGACGCCCCAAGAGGGCTCCAAGAGGACCTCCAGGAGACCAATATCATTGATTTGCCTTTGGTGTTTCAAGTTTAGCGCTCACGCCTGTTCAGGCTTCCAACGCTCCAAGCCGGCCATAGGCCCCCAAGATGGCCCAAAAGGCCCCCAAGAGGCCCGCAAGACGGCCGAAAAGAGCCCCAAGACAACCCAAGAGGTCCCAAGACGGCCCCAAGACGGCCCCAGAGACCCCCAAGACGGCCCCAAAGCGGGCACCAAGACGGCCTCTGAAGGCCAAGAGGTCCCGTAGAGGCCCCCAGAGGCCCCTAAGAGGTTCCCAAAAGTCCGCAGGATAACACAACGAGATCTCAGGAGGCCCCCAAGATCCCAGGAAGCCCCCAGGAGGCCTCAAGAGGCCTCTTCCTTCTCCTCCTCCTCCTCCTCCTCCTCCTCATCATCATCCGCATCATCCGCATCATCCTCATCATCCTCATCATCCTCATCATCATCATCATCATCATCATCATCATCAGCAGCATCATCATCATCATCATCATCATCAGCATCATCATCATCATCATCATCATCATCATCATCATCATCACCATCAGCATCAGCATCAGCATCAGCATCAGCATCAGCATCATCATCATCATCATCATCATCATCATCATCATCATACTATTATTATTAGTATTATTAGTATTACTATTATTATTATGATTATTGTTATTATTATTCTTCATCATCATCATCCTCATCCTCATCCTCATCCTCATCCTCATCCTCCTCATTATCCTCCCTCTCCTCCTCCTCCTCCTCCTTTCTCTTCCTCTCCCCAGTATTCCCCCACGAGGTTCCACAACGGCTGGGGGAACACATAGCCCAATAGCTTGGCCAGAATTGGCCCCAACGTTTGGCCGCATGGGCGTTTCCAAAAGGCAGGGAGCGGCGGTGATTCGCCGTAGGCGTCTTAGATGATAAACAATTACGGCATGATCTCTCGACCAGATCTTATGCGGGACTCTTCAAGCAGGGCCGATGCGTCAGGGCCCCCGGCCCGAAGCAAACGACCGTCGTGCTGCTTCTGTTCTGGCGCCTCGATGTGAGAGGTGGAATGTTGGAGAACCGAAGGACGCATCGTTCAACCGATCCCCATCCCCACTGGCATGGCATGGGCCCCACTGGCCGATGTACCCTCTACCCCCCTAGGATGGGGATATCAGCTGCTCCCTTTGGGTCTCGAGAGGTACATCCCCAACAGTGGTGATGGGGTGGGGGGGCTCGGGCTGGGCATAAGGATGGGGATTCGGGTAGGAGATCGACTGCAGAATTGATATGTCCCAAGTCTGCTTTGTCGTCGAATCGAATAAAAATGCGCAAAACGTTCGCACAATACGAACATTCTGCGTACTTCTCGTAGGTTTGTCGAAAAGAAGGATAAGGATCGGTTCAACGATACCGCCGACAGGCACTCCTTCCCGTCTGCCACCTCGCGCCGCCCAGGCCCGGGCTCGGCCGCCCAGGCGTCCCGGGACTTTTCCTGCGGGGGGCCGGCGGGTGGTCGAAAACGGCTGCGCGGGGCGAAGCAGACCCGCGCCGCAGCACGAGAAGGGAGCAGGGACAACGGCAGCAGGAGCAGGGGAGGACAAAAAGGAGGAGGAAGGAGGGGAGGAGGGAGGAAGGCTATTCGACTCGAACGGGGCGGGCATGGCCGCACACGTGCCCCAATGGGAGGAGGGAAAGAGGAGGGAAGAGGGAGGCAAGGGGGGAGGAAGGAGTAGCGACCGGGGGGAGGACGCACGAGGAGAAAAGAGGAAGAGGAGGAGGAGGACGACGACGACGACGACGACGACGACGACGACGACGACGACGACGAGGGAAGCACGACGACGACGACGACGACGACGACGACGACGAGGGAAGCACGACGACGACGACGCCGACAGGGAGGGACTGGACCGGTGGTCGCAGGGCGGGTCTCCCAGAAGTTTCCCCGCCCGACCCCACGACCGCCCCGGAGCTCCTGCCGCTCCCTCGGGAAGGCGTCAGCACCACGGGCGAACCTCGGCTAAGCAGAGACCACAGGAGGAGGGAGGGGGAAGGGTACGAGGGGGCAGGGGGAAGGGAGGAGGGATAAGGAGGGGAAGGGAGAAGAGGGCAAGCCAGGTGCGCTCGCGTCACATCTGACATCCTACCCGTCCCCCCATGCCTTACCATTGTGTTGTTTCTTCTCTGCCCGCGGCCGCGTGCCATAGCGGTCCCGGAACCCCCAGGCGGACCCCATCGTATAATGCGCAATCCGAAACTTGGAATTGCGTGCGTAGGAGGAAAGGTAGGAAGAGGAGGATATTTTGTCCCATGCGCGTGCGCGCGTGCGCCACGGATGATCTGTGCGAAAGATGAACGCGTGCTGCAGTCGAGTTTTTTGGGTAACAAGTTGTGATAATGAGAAACGAGCTACGATTCGAGTTTTACTCACGGATCCTGACGGGTTGAAGTGGGCGGAGGAGGAAGCGAAGCAGGGAGCTTGAGCCAGGATGGGAGCGGGCGATCCACTCCTGCATTGACAGTCGCGATATATATATATATATATATATATATATAACAAATAAATAAATACATACATAAAATAAATGAATAAATAAATAAATACATACATACATAAATAAATAAATATATGAACGCTACGATGGTTTATCTCACTGCCGCCATTGCTTTGCGGTATCTCGAGAGACCACCTGAGGGGGAACACGGAGCCCAGGCAGGTACGAGGCGCAAGCAGAGGGACGGCACGATGTTTCGATGATATCGGTGGATCGTGATCGTTTAACCCCCCCCCCCTGCACCAGCCAAGGTCAAATCCCTGGCGGCTGGACCTCGCACGAGCGGCGTTAAGACCCCCCCCCCAGGCCTTCGCGGTCGGTGCTGTGGGCCGGACGGTGGGCTGCAAAGCCGCTTGAGACAGACAAGCGGCGGCATAGCGAGACACCTCGAGTCGTCCATATCTTCACCCCTTGCGTGTACCAGTCATGAACGCTACGATTTTCTCACTGCCGCCACTGCTTTGCGGCATCCCGAGAGACCACCTGAGGGGGAGCACGGAGTCCAGGCAGGTACGAGGCGCAGGCAGAGGGACGGCACGATGTTTCGATGATATCGATGGATCGTGATCGTTTAAACCCTCCCCTGCACCAGCCAAGCCAAGGTCAAATCCCTGGTCGCTGGACCTCGCACGAGCGGCAAAAAGGACCCCCCCCCAGGCCTTCCAAGTTTCCCCAACCTGGTAAACCGAGCCCCTTCAACTCTACATACATCCTCTGTCATGTGGTGCATCAGCGAAGCTTGTGAATTACAAACGCCCAGGCGGCCGCCGCACTCCCGACGCACTGCTCCTGCTCTCTGGACAAGGTCAAGGCCACCAACTCAGCAGCGCCGTGCGAGATATACAATCGAGCTGTCCGAGAGGCTGACCACCTTCCTTTGACAAATCTGCCCTCCTAGAACCGCGTAACACGTGAAATGAGCGGTAGTTCCGCCGCGTCACAGCCTGTAAAGCGAGAGTTCTCGCCCTCGCAAGCCGAACGTCTGCAAAAGAGTGCAAGGCTTTGACCGAGCCTGCCCTCTAGCCAGGCCAAAAACCGATTGCCTGGCTCGAGTGATCTGCACACGTGTGCTGAAACTGTTCTGCTGACACCATATTGCAGAACAACTGCCTCGCTCAAACCCGTTCTCTGTCTGGTCGTGCTGACCGGGATGGGAATGAGGGCTTTGTCTTACAAAAAGAGGATGTCGCGACGCTTCATCGCGATCAACTCTCCGCCCCCCATGAAAACATCGAGACCGAAAAGCACTAGCGCTGCAAGCTCAGCCCACCCCTCCTGCCATGCACAATATGCCACTGCAAGACCCAGCCGCCTTGTAAACGGCGTCGCTCTCGAAGGTGGCACTCGGCGCTCCCACGCCCTGATCAAACTCAAGGAGTGGCCCAGAGAATCCTTGAGCGATGGAAGCAGCTACTGAAGACCTGCCGCCGCGTCGACGGGGACGTAGCGCGGCCCAGGCTCAGCCTCGGCGCAGGCGCAGGAAGCGGGCCACCGCGCCAACAGACCTACCCCTTTTTCTGGCCGAATCTGCAAGTCCCACAAATTTCCCCCACAACCTTGGGGCGAAATGCATGATAAGCAGGATCGACTCTCGTGCTCACGTAGCCGATGAGCGGGCAAAGGCTTGCGGCCAAAAGCGTAGCGCAGTACTGCTTCGCAAGATCCCTCCGCTTGTGCGAACTCGTCCGTCCACGCGTTAGAATGGCTGCTACCATCTGAGAGCCAACTAAATGCAGGAAGCGATCACTACGAAAACTCGTGCACCTCGTCCTCCAGCGCACCGTAGCAGTCGCGGCCCGCAGCTCGAGCGCGTTGATGTGGCTGCCGAAGGCGCTCGGCCCCCCTGGGTAGCTGAGGATGACCTTCTCCTTCCAAAGCGAGGGGTCGATGCTGGCACGGGGCCAAGCCTTCGGCTTAAAGGGAAACCCGATGCCCAGGCGCACGTCGGAGCCCCCCTTCTCGCCCCCGCTCTGAAACAGCTGCACAAGCAGCCGACTCTCTGGCCACTCCTGGACCAGCTCCTTGGTGAACTCGACATTCTCGTCGAGCAGGTCCCTGCACCCGATGGGCAGCACGAGGCTCTCTCCAGAGAAGCGGCCAGGGAAGTACCCGAACGCGACAAAGAGGGTTCGGAGGGGTCAGCCGAGCGGGGCGACGGCAAAGGCGTTCCCGAGCAGAGAGCACCGAAAGGCCTCCTCTACCTGCTGGTTTGAGCCCGACATGGCCACGGCCGAGGCGCAATGCCGTGGGAATCCCAGCAGGACCTCTCGCTCCGACGAAGTGGCCAGCCGAGCCCTTCCCCCCTTCAACGACGAAGCTGTAGTCGTTGTACTGGTACGGGGGGTACGAATACATGTCCACGGCCCAGCGTCGTAGGGCCTCCTCGCTCACCTCGCGTAAACTCGTCGGCTTTTACCTCGGCTCGGTTCGCAACACCTTCTGACGAACGTACACAACGGCTTCGAGTCGCCTAACCGGCAGGCCCAAGGAAATATCCAGTCCCCTCGCTCGAATCGCCGAAGTCGAATAGCTCGAACTGCTCGACCTCGGTTGGTCTCGACTATCTCGGACCCGTCCAAAGCCGTGATCTCCCAAGGGCACCAGTACAGGCGGGGACAGCGGTGTTCGGTGAACAGGCTGTCGCAACTCTCGATGGGGGCCACTCCGAGGGCCTCACTGAACCCCTTGATGCACTCGATGATCATGCTCGCTACGTTCTCGACGACCCAGCGCATCCGCACGTGAATGGGAGCCTCACAAGGCCGATTATCCGAGCAAGGTGAGAGAATAGGCAACTCTTTTCACCGCTCAGTCTTGAGCGCTCGGCGTCGACGCCAGCAAGGTTCTGACAAGGCTGTCCCCTGCCAGCAGTGCAAAATCAACCTTGTCTTTGTAGTGCGACGCAAAGCTGAAAGTGAGCTGTTCAGAAACATCCTCCACGCGCCCACGCTCGATGACGCCCAGACAACGGGCGCGCGCAGCTCGCTTGGCATTATTGTTCATCTCGCTGCTGGCATAGCCCACGATGACACAGCCCAAACGGCTGAAGGCCACCGCCGCGCAGCCAATTCCGTCAAAAACACTGAGCAGCAAGACACGTGGAGCCCCGCCCTGGCGGCCTCGTAACAGCGCACTGTGGGTGTCTAACTCAATGCGCCCGTTGAACGTCGCCAGGCGCATGGCCTCGCTCTGGACGGCAAGCCGCCCGCTCGGGTAAAGCTGCGGCAGGCCCCCACGCCCTCGGTGCTCAAGTCCACGCCCACGCAGGCGCCATCCGCGCTCTCACTGGCGTCGGAGCAGGTGACAACTCCACTCGCGCAGCCCGGAGATTAACGCTGGCCAGCGGGGGCATCACCAGCGCGTGCAAGAGCTCGCAAGCCATCTCGGGATTGATGACCCACTTGTTGTGTGCCAGCCGCTCCCAGACGCCGCAGAAGATGCTGAAGAGCGGCCCCCTGAGCCCCAGCGCCCGTATCCAGCGCCCAAGAAGAACAGGGAGTCCGACACCACAAAGCCGAGGCAAGCTCAGCATGAAGAGTGCGAGGGACAGGAGCTCCATGTTGCGGTCCCTCGCATTGGCCAGACGGCCAGTCAGGCCGTCCATCTCGACGCCCATCCAAGTAACCCTCAGCCGCCGACAGTTGACCTTGTCCTCAGCAATCTCAACTTCATTTCTATAATAACTATTGTGCATCCTCTGCTGCAAGTGTCCTACGGCCCCCTGACTGACGGCAGCGATGGCACGTGGCACCACCGCCACCTCGTCGAAGTGTCCACGCACGCCTGCCACCACTCGCGGAGCTCGTCTGCCAGCCCAGTGAGGACCGCAGACATAGGGACAGGTCGTTCTTGTCACCACTCTCGGCCTCCTGGAAAAAAGGGCTCCCTGAGGATCTGGCAAAAGTCCCAGGCGCCTGTGGATGTGCTGAAATATCAGAACTGACAGGACCCACCCCATCGGAAGAAACGACATAGGCAGGTAAACGTCCTTCTGGGGAAAGCCCAAGATCCTGCCAGGGACAGGTCGACCAGCAGCCATGAAACCACGCCAATTCTTAGACAAAACCCCCATGAAAAAGGCTCCTTCCTGGCCGCCCCCGCTCCACAGCATTACCTCGTCATCCTCCAGCCCGATCGAGATTCAGTGAGGGGGCGGCACAAGGGCCGCGACGTCGTGCTCCATCTCTCACGAAACCACTGGCAGGGATCATATTGAATATGGGGCGGGTCACCCGCGCCCCGCTGGGCAGAGGCGCCCCCTTTCTTGCGAAGAGCAAAGGAACCATTCTAGAACTCTCTGACCTCTGTGCTCGAAGATGTCATCATATCCGATCGGCTCACACAGCCTGAGTCTGACAAGCCCCCGCGCGACTTCCCACCATTCCTCGACGCTGTCAGCAGCGCCCCCGGCCTTCGGCATCGTAGTGGCCCACTGTTCTGGAGGAAGAAGAGCCTGTCTG